CCCCCCCCCCCCCGGACCTAGAAAATTCCATTCTTACTCCCCTTTCTTTGGAAAAATTGATTTAAATGTTACAATTTTGTAATTATTCATAAATATTTTATAGAATTATACACACACACACACACACACATATAAGAATTACGTGTATTACTTCACAAAAATCTGTGCTCCCCCCGCCACTCCTCCACAAAATGATAAATTGGATTTGCACATGGCTAGGTGTATCTTGCAGTGAAAAAACGTAACAGGTTTATGATAAACTGGTCAGATTGCTTGTGGGAAATTTCTTCTGCTAGTGACCTGATGTTTAGTTTAATGTCCCTCTTGTTTGGAACTTTCCATTTACCCAATACCACCATAACAAACCTTACCTCCCTTAACCTTGGTTGATGCTTTGCCTCCAATTCCAATTTTCAAGGAGGCTTTGGCCTTTGCTATATACAAAACAACCTAAGGTCTGTACCCCACACCATGTCGACTGCATTTTTATGCCAAAGTATTCACACAGCCCTCATATTAAGACATTTGCCCTTTATTAGCGAATGCTCCATCTCGAAGGTAAGCCAGATGAATTCCAAAATTATCTGCTATAACGTTTGTAAAGCTGTGTTAACACAGCCTGGCCCATAGATTGTGTGATTTAACCAGGCACTCTCAACATTAATGATTTGGTTTGTAGCAACGATGTATTGTTAAATTGCACCGCAATTATGAATAAAATTCTTTGCATTTTAGGTCGTGCAATTGTTAAAGGCAATACTTACCAGTATGGCTCTAACATGGAATATCAACAACAACATCAAACAGCTCAGCATCAGCAATCACAGTCACAATCACAACTGCAACAGCAGCAGTCACAACAATCGCAACAGCAGCAACGCCATAATTCTGTAATTGGGAGCAGTGGCAGCAACAATGGAAATTTTTCAAATATGCCTCGTTCAAAAATGTCTGTGTCTACACCTCAGACTAATTTAACTGCTGTACCTCCACAATTTAACTCTCTGATGATGATGCACAGACCTACCAACCAATCCTCAAGTGGCCGTGGTGAGTTCAAAGAAACTGCAGGTTTTGTCAAATTGTAAATACCAGTTTCTCTTTTCCTCATTGCATGTATAATTCTCGAAGTTTGTAAAAAGCAAACTAGCTAGAATATACTACAAAGAGTGGCTGCCCGTATGGTTTCAATATTCATAATGCCTTTAGTAGGTTTAGCATATAACAGTAAAAATAGATGTCATCAAACCACAAATATATTATTTTTCAAGTTTGCTGCCTTATAACACTTCAAACAGCTTCCATTCTTATGACAATAACTAATGTAGGAAGCACCACGTATTTTAAACTTCTCAATTCGTTCTAACATGTGGTCATTCGGTTTTCAAGGATTCATTTTTGGTTGTGGAACACACAGTACGAGAATGTATATAATGTGTGTCCTACGCTCACCCGGCAGTATATGGAATACTAGAATTTTCTCCGGAGGGTGCTGCTTTGACTTCAAAAAACATGGCTTCAATTTTCTGCAAAGATGGAGGTGCTTCAGCCACACTATGTAGTATAATATTGTAGCTTGTTAAAAGCTTCAAACAACTGTTCGTTAAATAGCTAAACTACTACACCTCATTAATTCTCAAGAATTAGGAGAAACTTAGTTCTGATGGCCTTGCTTATTGTGAATGTGTTTGCCTACTCAGTTTGATCATGACTCACCAGTTTTTCGAAAGATTTTCCTTCACACAATTTTTTGTAGCTATTCACATTGAAATTAGTTTTTATTGAAGTCTAATGTAAAACAGAATATACAGCAAGATCCTGTTATTAGGGAATCTTGCAAATTGGGGATAAAATTGACAAGCCAGAAATCAGTAATACATGAATAATGCATTTATTTCCCACTTTGAGGCACCCCTTTGTAAGAGATTCCAGTCTATTGTGGACAAGATTGCTTTTTTTTTTCCCCCTTTTCCCTGCTGTGCGTTCTCACTTGTTAAAAAACAAAGCATTGAATTTTCCTCCAGGTAACTCTGGAATCACATCACCATGGTTAGTGTTGGGGCACACGCTTGAAACTAGATTGGAGCAGGGTTGTGCAACACCAGTGACGTGCGTGCATGAAAAGTCCTGTTGAGGAAAGCTCATTCTGTAAGCTTAGACATCTCTTGAAAAGAAGAAAGTCAGGGTGCCTACGTATTTCAATTTTTTTAGTGCTGTGTAGATGTTTCCTGCATCATGTATACATAATTTTATTTTACTTTGATTAGTTTTATTGCTACATGGACATACATAAGTACTAGAATTGTGAATTTTTCTTTTTCTTTTCTATGGATCCGAGAGTGATGGCATCAAAATGAAAGGGTTTTGTCAGTTGCTGTGACTTGTATTGAAGATTGTTTTGATACATAATACATAATACTAATTTGCCCAGAAGCCTCATTTCGACTCCTGGCGATCTTTATGCCCTTGTAACTTCTTAGTTTTTGAATATAGGATTTTGTATTTTTGTGACTTCATCTTTTTTATTTATTTACTGTGTGTTAATAAAGTTAAAAAAAATAAGGTTATGAAAAGTAATTGAATTTATCTAGAACGCTCAGGAAGCAGCAGTTTGACTCATTGTGTATTGTCTGCATCCTCAAGCTTTTATTTCACATTTTTCAAAGCTGAAATTTTTTAAATATCTCCTAGTATTTTGGATACATTCTGAAGAAATGTGCAGCCATTCTTTCCTTCTTTGCTTTTTTTTACTGGCCCTCATGTTCAATTCATGCAAATTCATGAAATGTTTCGTAACGGTGGCAAATATATCACTAAGTTTCAAAAAGAAAATTATTAGCAAATGAAGGAATAGCATTGTTATTACACAAAGGTTAAATAAAAAAAATATTTCTTCAAATTCGGAAAAAGAGAAGTAAGAGTATAAAAGATACGTTTTGTGTTCAGGATGCCATGTCACTTTAGACAGCAATTGTGTAGTAATATATTATACCTTTTTTAGGCACAGTCTTGCTTCCTGATTTTCGAAATATTAAAAGGGATTTGGAAAGAATTTCCTTGCTTTCATCTGAAAAATAATTCAGCTCTGGTATAATTAGATACCTTTACAAACTGAACCAATATTATGTGTCAGAGGAATAGAATTGATATGCTGGCATGTACCTTCCTAACTATGTATGTAGTACACAGTTAATGGCATGAAAACTCTGTCAAAAGTAGTAAAAAAAAATGTGAATTTTGGGATATAACTAAAATGCTGTGTCAATGTTTTTACCTACATTGGAAATATTGTGGAAGGTTTATGAAATACAAGAGAAAACACCAAACACCAAGAGCTCTGCAAAATGTCCTTCAAAACTGTAGTCTGTACAAGTCATTAGAGTTTAGATCTACAACTAAACATATTTATACTGTTTATTCCTTGTAAGGTCAGAAATGTAGAAAGTAAATGCAATGGAAACCTGAACAAGAACTACTGCAGTTTGAAACATTGTACTAAATTTTTTAGAACTGTCATCTAACACTCGTAAAGTTCCAATTGGTGAGAAATAAGCCTATGTAAAATATTTCAAATAAATGATGTATTGCTAGACAGCATGGGAAATGCATTGCAAGGAAATATACTTTTGGGTCACATGTCAAACTATTCTTTAAAGTTAAGTTTATAACATTTATTATTATTATTATTATTATTATTATTACAATATTGCTACTATATTAAAATTAACTTTTCGACATAAACTTTTGTCCATACATTTGCATATTCCGCTCAACACATTTCTTTTGCTTTGATTTCTCGGGACAATGATTACAATAATTGTTTAAAATATATTTCAGTTGTGGCATAATTCTATTATATGCTAAAATATTGTTTTAAAGTAATGTTGTAGTGACATATTTAAATATTTTTCCATTGTTCCATCTACCTTTTTAAAGAAGTAATGTTGAAGGCATGCAGTCAAAAAGACTTTGCTGGGTGTTCTAGTGTTAAGTAATCTGGATTCAACCTGCATGTAGGAAGTGTTTCAGAGGAAGAAGTTATGTGAGAATGGAGACATTTATATGCCAGTTCAAAAAATATATTGTTGCAGGTGGGGAAGTTGCAACAACTGACATATCTTCTATTTTATTTCTCTGTGAAAACTGAATGAGGGTGATGAAAATATAGGTGACAATCGAGTCTACCACTACCTTCACTTATTGAGGCAGTTGTGATGGAGTCAATTAGAATATTTTTGTTAAATAAAGGGGCTTCAGATCATACAATAACTGCAGTCAATTTTGCTGAAAGAGAATTACTAGCAATGAGGCCTTGAAAGAAGCAGATAATTTTAACTTCCTATTCAAAAAAGGTTTGACTGAGCAGAAGTAAATAGAGCTGTAAACAGTTGTTGGGAATACTACTTGTTGTTGTAAAAATTGTACATAATTTTGCACAACAGAATCCAACCCAACATTCACACCACGGAGGTGGGCAACAGAATATTCAGTGTATATAGAAAAGAATAAAAAGTATTGGCTCTATTTTGCGACAGGATTTTGCTGTATATATAAACTCAAAAGATCTGGCTAAATGGTCTATGGTATCAAGTAATTTTGTTTCCTCAATTGTGTACAAATCATGCTAATCTATTTAAAATACGGCAACATTTCGTTAAACATGTCAAAAAACAAATTCCCCACTTAGGAGTTCCTGCTTAAGTGAGACTATTCAATTTTACTAAGTGTCTCTTGTAATGGGATTTGCTTATTTTGTTTGTTCTTTGGTTTCCTGGGTTTCATGTTTCTTTTTAATAGGAGCCTGCATGACAGATTTGTTTAGAAAGTTTTCATGATTCTTTTGAGTTCTGAATGTTGGCTTCTATTTTCAAGTGATGAACCTAAGATCATATTCTCTATTTAAGGTTTCCTGAAAAAGTTGGACCAGTCTGTTGAAAATGGGTTGTTGCGCATGTTCTTATTTCTTGTGGATTTGCAGTTTTTGAAAATCTTTCTCATTTTGTATGTGCATCTAATACTTGATAAACCTCCACAAAATATTGAAGTCTTTTACGTGGATCAACCAAACACAAATTTGGCTAGAGGAACCTTTTAAAAATTCAGTTTATGAAATTAGTACTACTCAAATCACAATATATGGTTCTGAATTTTTTTTTTTTCAGCCCAGACTTTGCAGGCTCATTTTGCTTCCTTACAACAGCAACAGCAACAGCAGCAGAGGCATCAGAACAATTTGGGCCCTTCATTACAGCAACTTCTTATGAATCAGAACTTTGGTGCTAGTCACAGTTCTGGAAAAAACGGTAAGTTTTCTTAATTGGAATTGTTTTTCGAATGAAATGCTTTTGATCATTAATAATCATAATCATAATCATAATCATAATATGGATAAATTTAGGAATGCTAAAGAAATTACTTAGTAGTGGAATAGTCATTTAGAATTTGAATCTCTCACTGTACTACTGTAGTTGTGATAAATTTTTCTCTAATGGAGAAGGCAATGAATTGATGAGATGTGCAGAAACATATAATCAGAAAAGGGCAAGCCAATTAAAGGGAAGGAAAACCTTGCTGTATACATTTGTAGCAGCAGTGCAAAGTCTCTTGCTTCCTCATCAAAGCAATTGAATTTCATTGAATTAAATGGAATGTACCCAATTCAAGAAGTTTAAACCAGTAATTTTGCTGCTATCTTCAGTGTTGTAGATGGTCTGTTAAAGAAATGTAACATATGTAAACGAAGATTTAATACCTTATAATAATAGAAACTTTAAGTTTTCTGAACGAAAGAGTGCCTTTTTGAAAGATGTGGGTTACAATTTTCTTCTGAAAATGGCTGAAAATGTTGGGAATGTTCCTACTAAGTGAATGTTTGCGAACATACTGAATATCTTTTCTTTTCGGACATGGAGTGCAGAAAGGTTGTAAACATTTGCAGGGTTATAGTTTCTGAAAAGGTGCCTTTTGTGAATCTATCACAAGGCAGTGAGTTCCAATACAAATTTGTTCAAATGTTTGATAATTTACTTCTTTCTTGAACAGTTCATCAGATTTTGTGAATTATGAGCACATGATGTTAGTTTGGTGATACTTCATTCCATGGTCTTTTGAAGTTTTCTCTTGGTGAAGAAATTTGCAAATTTCCTAAAACTAGAGGAGTTTGTATTTTAATTAAGGATGGAAGTGAATTAAAAGAAATAAAAAAACTAATGTAAATATTGATGTTTGGATTTATTATGGGTTTTAGAGAAGTTTTGTGACTTGTCGTGCAAGGTTCTGAGTTTTTCAAATAATTTTGTCCTTTTCATAGATTTGGCTCTTCCTGTGATAATTATCTATGCCAATGTTGGAGCAAAAACAACCTTGAAAAAAAAAATTCTGTAGTGTAATTTTATTCACAACCTGAGACTAAATCCATTAACAATGGGATGGTTATCAATTATTAGTGCATTAATACCAATAACTTGTCGTAAAGTATAGGTTTTCATTTAAATTATAATTAATTCAATTAGAAAGAAAGTTGTTTTATTTGTGCACTTGGTTTTTATTATTTTTTCCCCTTCATTTATGAAGTAATGTGATGACATGCTGTCCTTCAGCTAGTTTTAACTCTGACTTGAAATGGTCTACTTTCAATAGATTTTTTTCCAATCTGCATTAAGTAGTTTTTTTTCCAATCTTTAAAAGATTCATCAAACTGAAAGTTGGTTTCCATTGAAGCCACAGCTTCTGCATAAAAGGCAGACTTACCACTACTAGTGTAAATTACAATTTTTGAGAACTCTATTGGGAGTGCATTCTGTATTATAGATGTTAAGAATTAATTTATAAATGAATTTGGGTATAAAGTTTACTCCTAAATATTTTAATAGTTGGGAATGTGTTAAGATTTTGAAAAAGGGAAAAGAAATTACTTATAAAAATTGCACTTTTATAATGGATTGTTTTTAATTTATTAGATTCACGAATGCAGAGGGGATCACAATCTATGCCTGTACGCCAAGGGCAGAATGCTTCTCTGGGAAGCAGCTCTACAGCAGATCTCTCCACATCACCTACTACAAATCAGTTAGCCCGTTGGTTTACTCGTGCTGGCCAGCTACCAGATATGCCTTCTATTCCTTCAACTCAAAAAATCCTTAGTCTGGAGGAATTGGAGAGGCATCAGCAGAGTTCTGCTGCCGTCCACAACTAAACAGAACCATAGCAAGAACATTTTCATCACCATTGTCACTGCTACATTGTCACGTTTTTAGGTGGTTTGAAGTACTAGTTGCAAAATAACAAAATTGATGTGACACATGCAGGAAAAATCTGGAGGACTGAGAAAGTTCATAGTAAAACTTTCTGAAGTTCAAATAATTTTGTAAACTATTTAAAATAATGTAAAGATGGAGATAGTAAGTGGAGTTTTCTGTTGGTATTGGTGGTCATTGCCAAATTTCTAGTCTACTTGAGTTTAAAGGATCAGTTGAATCCAAGAGCACATTGCTTTCTCCTCCTCCTAGTATTGTACTGAAGATTGTTCAGATACTATCTGCAATGAAAAGATCATTGTTTTTGTTTTGTTTTTTTTATTTTTGGTTATTTTTGTACTTTGATATAATTTTTAGTGGAAAAATAAATTTATTTTGTAGAGATCTCAACTGCTAGAAGAATTTTAATATTTGATTTTTCTCTAATAATAAAAAGGAACATTGAAATTACTTGCAGGTTTAAAATTCGTGTAACATGTTTAGATTTTCTTGCACAAAGCATTATTCTTTTAAGAAATAAATAAAAAAACGTAGTTGTAAATTTTACAACTGAGTTTTTATTCTTATTGCAAGTAAAGTGCTCTTCCATGTTGGAAATTTGAAATGCTGTTAAAAAAAAAATATAAACGTGGTTATATATCAATGTATTTCAAAAGGATATTAATGTTGAATAAATGTGAGTGCATTGTAACAATTCTTAACTATTTCAAATTTTCATTAGTTTGAATACACTGGTTATATCATACACTTTGGTCAAATTAGGAGTCTTGTTTCACATAAAGTATTGTTGGAATGAGATTGTGGGAAAGTTTTGAACGAAATAGAAAATCCGTACATCATAAGTTAGTGCTTTGACAGTGGTGATGTGTAATAGTGTGCATCATTACATATTTTTGTTGTGATGTGAAACTTCTATTTAAAGATTAAAATCCGTGATTCATGTAAGCGGATGTACCTGGTTCAGAACCACAATGGAAGATATTGCTTTTTGAAGCGTGAGGTATAGTCCTCATTGTGTTGGTGCAAAAAAGATCATGTGTGGAAGTGAAATCGGTTTTCCTTCATAGACTTAATACAATGTTGCTTCAGACTTTTGATGTGTGTGGATAAGCTAGTGATATTAACAATCTTGCAGTTCCACTCCCATTCACTGGAGTGGGATCATGTGTAAAATTAATGGGAAAGTTACACAATGTGTATGTGAAGTTTTTCTTTTTTTTTTTCCCTCTCAGAATTGTTCTATATGTACAGCATATTAGATGTAAAATGTAGATGCCATAGGTTTGTAATTATTAGCTGTTGCTGTTTGGAAGGGAGCAAGTTGATGAATGTGAAACATAAAATATTGAAACTTAAAAATTGCGAGAACTGTGCTTGTGATATGTGGACAGTCACTGCCATGTTTTCCACATTTCAGCATGTATGGCTGTAGGGCAGGGTGTATAGAAAAATGTAAATACAAGTGTATTTTGGGAAATAGTCTCCAAATGCGAATTGTATAAATTTGTAGGTGAAATGAATGGGACTTAACATTCCACTTGGATATGAGTTTTTAAGAAAAGATGGGAGTGTCTGAGTGAGTGATTTTAGAAAGTGTATTTGAGAGTATTTATTGAAGTTTATTTTGTGTGGCATTCAAGTAGAATGTTTAATGTTTTCACCCAGTAAACCAAGAGAATTTAAGTCTCAATGTACATAGGGCTGTAAATGGAAAATACTTGGCTGAAATTTGTTTCTCAGAGGAGTTTTGAACTGTAAGACTGTTTCTTCTGCATACAGACATTCACTCTAAAGAATGTTAAGAAAAATCTGTATGCTCTTAATTTTAAGGGGGGGGTGTATAGTGGTGGTGTTCTATACAAAGATAGTGCATTTTCTTTAAGGGATTATAATGTAACTTTTAACACTTGTTTGAAAAAGAATGAATGGAAATGGCAAGTGTCTTAATATGTACAGCATTAAATAAAATTTAGATGTGGGCAGAGTTGAGGTTACAGTGTATAATATACAAAATTTCCAGTTTTTAGCACAAACACTTTGAATATATAAGCTGAGCACATAGGCTTATTTATCTGAAAAGTTCTAGTGTAGTCCCCCTTCTGCAACCAAGCATTGAAAAGAGTTTTCAGTTGAACTGACTTTGTGGCTTTCCACACACTACAAAGCTAAATTTTGTAATTGTCAGGGGGGGAGTGTAAATTATTTCTTGTAGAACTTGTAATGACATTTAAATTGAGACCGTTCAAAGCATGGAAATATACATAAATAGTATGTTTTGGTTTCATTGCAAGTTGCAAATGGTAAAATTCACAAGCCTTTAAAGCTTGAATATGTTTTCTGTGAAGGACTGGATCTGATAAGGGAAATAATTTTAATTTTTGTTTTCATTTGAATGTACATGGGCTTGACACATTGCATTGTATACTTGAGAACTGAAATTACAAAGAATTACTTAACTTTTGTTTAATTTTTATTTTTAATAATCTTCCACCAATCCCCATCCCATTCTGGACAAGCTAATTTCGATGGTTTAACAAATAAAATTAGAATGCTCTATGAGTGATGGAGACATCATTCTACATATTCCGGTAATACCAACCAGACGTCGAATAACATGCAGTTGTGTAACTAATATAATTTCTTTCCTTCCACATTTCATGACGCACGCAATACTTAAAAAATAAATCCAAAGAATCAAATATCAGACTTCAATACGTTTAGGACATTCTGCGGGTGGCAATTTATAAAATATCGTTCTTCTATAAGAGATCACAAGGCTCCATTTACACTATTGCACTCTTTCGAACACTTAGCACAATGTTAACGCGAAGATAATTTCCTTACAAGTAGACATAAGTTAAAACCAATACAACACTACACTAATTAAGCAGACTATCCCCAAAACTTAATTGTACCCGCGATATAAGCCCTTCACTTCGCAGCAGACGTGACCACAAAATACATTTCAATGGCGTGTGTGCGGTTCAGGCTCGGATGCACAGAGCGAATGGTTTGATTAAGTGAAACGTCAATGTGTTCATGTCAGAAATTTGTGATAACTCAATAAATAATAAGCATTTCAAAACATTTGTGAATCTTTATACAAACGTGTTGAAGCTCAAATCGATACATTCATCCAATTTTGTTTCCATCGCCCTCTGTCCGATTGTACCACCACCTGCCGGTAGATATTGAAACTACAGTTCTCTCAGGCCCTGGTGGCTGATGCCGATGTCTCTTTGTGATCCCCGTATCATATCGGTTTTGGTCGTTTCGGAGTATGTTAGCATTTAATATTCGGCGAAGTACTATATTTTGGTTATAATTGGATTGTTAATATCGAAATGATGATTGACAAGCCAGTTGGTGTGATAAACGAAGGTCGAGGAGGTAAGTTCTTGGACGATACTGTAGGCTGTTCGGCGGAACTAGTTGATTGTCTAAAAGGCCAAACACCAGACGAGCCTCCAAAATGGCCATTCCTCAGGAACGTTGATAATAGCCATTTGCGAAAGTGGAAGTGTAGTGTGGTACTGATGCGAATCTAGGTAAACTCTTAAGTATTTTATGGATGGTGCATGAGTGGCTTTTGGATTAGGAAGCCCTATTTCTGCTGTGAAAAGAGGAATGATTTTAGAGTGCTGCGACGTAGTTTCAGTGTACACCAATTAATGAGTGCTGGAATATTGTGCGCCAAGATAATTTAATGCACTTGAATATATTCCCACTACTGAGTCGCATGATGCGTTTTGAACTTTTCAATAGAGGAGGCGAATATGCGAATGACGTCAGTGGGCTCTCTTGATCTGGACAGAATGTGGCTGATTATGGATGTGACTAATGGCTGTATGACGGACAAGGATATTCTATTAATTAGATATTACGAAAGACGAGCTGCAATTGTGTGAACAACACGGGACTCAAGAGAAAAAAACAACAAACTTTTAATAAAATGACGCAATGAAAATGTAATCCGAAAATACTGTTGGATATAGTCACCGGTATTCACGAGAACGTAGTGCAAAAATTAAGTTGAAGGGAATGAAAAACTCTCAAGTAGTTGATATTATAAACTTTGGGTTTTGAGAACTGTGCAAACTAGAATTTAAATTAAAACAATGGTCATAAATTATCGGGATTATTAATATCCCGTATGTGGGTACAGGTATCGATCAATAGCATATGAAAATCGGGGATCAACATATTGGAGAGCAACTTTTTGATGGTACAACTGGTGATACGTACTTGATACTATTTATTTTCAGAGCAAGATGTAAAATTATAAATTTGAATTGGCCTTTTGATATAACCGGGCTTCTTGCTTAACGCTTCGCACAAAACAACCTGTGATTTGCATGTGGGATCATTCGTCTGGATTGAAATACATTCGTTGCGGATGATTACAATGCTATCACGTGACATGCGAGTTTTTGTTTATTGGTAATCAGAGAGGATTTTTTAAAATAATAGTTTATAATTTTTTTTTGAGAAGGAACAATTTACGGTAAATTTGCTCCACAAAATGCATGATTTTTTTAAACAGTTTTTAATTTGTTGCGGAGAAGTCGTTACTAAGTGTAGTTTTCAGAATAAATATGCTTCTGTACGTTTCGGGTGCAGTGTAGGGCGCTCCTGGCGTGTTTGTGCGAAGTGTTCATTGTGTAGATTATAAAGTGGGTCAGTGAGGATTAATAGTATAACTTGCTTTTCAGGTTTTGCAATAGTTATTAGGAAGATCGTGGAGAGAATTGTTTGAAGAACAGACATCGATTATCAGGTAAGTTTCCAGTTTGAATTTTTATACAAGATACAGATTCGGAGTGTTGTGTTTTACCGTATTGCGTGAATTGCGGTGAGCGTGGAATTTAGTTGTACGTTTTAAGGTATTATATCGAAGAATTTTTGGTGAACTTTCGTATTGGAATTTTTGGTGTGTATTTTTTGAGTGCTCCAACATTCGAAGTGGTTAACGATCATTTTGAAAAGCTACTTTCAAGAACTTGCAAGTATTGTTTTTAAAAGGGTTCTGTTAATTTGAATAAGTTGTGGATTCTGTGCGGAGTGTTTAACTAGTCGGAAAGTGCCGTGAAACTATTTCCTTACAATCTTTCCCCAATGGCGGCCATTTTGTCCAGTTTTGCTCTTTCAACATGCGATACTTGACGCGTCTGGTTTGTCATTTTTCATATTATTTAAAGGATTGCGTAAGTGATACTTTGTTTGCCTAGTTACGAGAGAGATTGTTTGCAGTATTCGGATGTGACTTTCGTGAACATCCCTGGAGAAGATCGTGAATTCATCATATTGTAATCTCTACAGATACACAATTGAGAAAATGTTTTGTGATATCACGCGGTGAACAAATAAACACTAGAAGATAATAAGTGGTTCCAATTTGAGTTTTATTAAAATATCCTTTGAATTGCTACCTTGAGTTGCTAGTTGCGGATCAAGAATTGATAAAACAGCCACAGAATTGACGGGTAATGGAAACTGAATTGAGAGGATTCTCTTGAGTCTTAAAAGAAATTTACTCCCGTGGAAGACCTTGATAGTGTTAGTGAACCAGAAGTATTATGTGAATGCTTTATGAGAGAAAGCTGCCATCCAAGAAAGCTTTCCGAAATATTGGGAACTTGATAATTTTTTCCGAAGAATGGCAATTTCTTCAAAATATTGTCGAGCTTAGATTTCTCGTGTCAGTGATCACTCTTCCACACAGATGAATGTTCGAGACTATGATAAGTATTAATTTTCGGATTTAAGGAATGTGTTCATTAACGCAAGTTCACTTGCCAAATGTTTGTTACCCACATGGAAGCACGCGGCGTTCCAATCCAACAGAGTGCAGCAGCAACATATTTTGAGTGAGAAAATGTACATTTTGATCGTGCAAGTATAATATGGAGGAAGCGAATAATCGTAGCTATTGTGTAATAGTAATATGCGTTTTCCAAGCTTATGAAGAGTTGATATTGTATCAAGCTGGTCTCTCCGATGATCCACATAATGTGAATATCACTACCGGCCTTGAAGAAGAACTTTCAATAGCAGTCGCTCAAGGCGCACAAGATGGAGATCCTGGTTGAAGAAAGTTTGCTTGCGATCTTGCTGCCGATTTACTGCGAATATCGCGGCTTTATTGTTCTCAAATTGTCGAAATTGTGCAAAAATATATTTTCGCATCAATACAGCCACTCCGTTGTTCTGATTTTAGTTTTTCGTTTATTTGATTCCATTGCCCCTTCGTAAATGATTATCATCGTTTAAGTCGAGCGGAAGAAAAACGAACTGTCGTAAAGGTTTTGAGATTTACTGCCGTTCACTTACTGTGAATGCAAGATACTTCCTGTATTCTAGTAACTGTCGTCAACCCTTTACGCTACTTCACTGTAATTGGAATGAATTTAGCCTTCACAGTTATAAACTGTACTTTACTTTTTTTTCGGTTCAAAGTATTCTAGAAGGCCTTCGGCCAATGTGAAGGTAGGGCGATAAGTAGATAATGCTTTGGACTTCGACGGTTTGGCGAAGACACATTCGACGAGCTGAGAAGGATGGCAGTAGAGACGAATTGGGATCGATCGAAGAACTGGTAACAATGAAAGGGAGTGTCACGCCGCTTCTCAGCCATTCAGGAAACAAATAGATTGATGTGGAAGCGGCGATCCTGTCCCTAGTTCTATGATTCTACGTGAAGAACGTATATTCAGCAATGGTGATACACGAACGTGTACGCTATCAACTAATACCTCTGGTTTGAAGGAGTTTTAAGCTTTGTGTTGTCTACAATGATTGGACTTTGATGCTATAAGGGAGAACAACAACAGGTTAATGTATCAGATTTTTATGTATTTGGTGTTACAATGTAACCGTAACTAGTGCTGAAAGCACATACTTTCTCGTATTTCGGCGATTACCTATTATAATATTGCACCTTATATCCTACTAACACTTATTCATCACTTGCAAAAATCAAGCGATATAAGACAAAATGCGCGAAAACCTTTATTAATATCTTGAAATAACGGTATCTCAAATTATTTGAAGATTATATTGAGAAATAGATTGCGTTAAGAAAGAAATTTGCATCTTAAATACGAAGTTATGGGAAAGTTCGAACAAAATTTGAACGTTTTGCACGTTTCAAAACTCCAGAAGTTTAATAAAAATAGAGTAGTAACCTTATTTTTAAGAAAAAAAAGAAGAATTGAACAAAAAATGTGAGTTGATTTTTCAAAAATCTCGTTTGGATTGAAAAAAAATTTTAAAAAACTCAAAAGTACGCAAAAATTGTGCATTGTTTGCGTATTTAATTTTGCAAAACACTTCGTTTAGAAAATGACTACAATCAATATCGAAGTTCCAAAAAAAATTAAAACTGATTTTCGAATTTTAACGTGAAATGTATTATTATTGTAGAAGTAAATACCTCTGGAGAAAAAATAAAGAAAAATGTGGACCATTTCTAAGAAAATTTCGAAAAAGTCTTAGGGGTTCATGTAAATGACCACAAAAATGCGTTTCAAATTCGAGTGGCCGCGACACAATCGATCTGAGAATATCAATTTTGGTGAAAATCTTGTCTACGGTTTAGATGCTGATGCTCGACGATGTTTTAAGAATCTCTAAACACTTCAGCATCTGGAACCACCTTAATTGGAGTTTCCTGACAAAATCTAAAAATTTTACTGTTCTTCATAACCATTTCTAAAGAACGTCTACGGGAAAGTAAACAGACAGAAACCACTAAAAGGAAGTATAATATTCATTTCAAAGGTGAGTATATTTGACTTTTCACTCGGGCCGCTTTGATCTTGTAAAGACGTTTCTGAATGAGTTTTTTAGAACTAGGACTATTATCCGATTCCTTATTGAGAGGGTAATATTGAAGAGAGGAGAAAAGGACATTTCCGGAAGATACTCATTGAAAAATAGGTTGCTTGCACTTCAAAATATCCAGACTTTATTTACAAAGTTTTTAAAGTAAGGTTTTTGCGATCGTTTGATATATACTTAATCAATTTGAAAGCCGGTTTTACTGGGTTGATTCACACATGATGTACATGCAAAGTTATGCAGCTTACCTTTCATGCATGCAGGGACTCCCTCATTTTGGACTAGTTTCGAGAATTTTGTCCTTAAGTTAGATTTACATATTTGGCCTTTGTAAAAGCAAATTTGTTCGTTTGAAAGGATGACTCGGGCTAAGAATTTGCGAATTTGAAATTAAATGCGTTCAGCACGTCCCGATTTTCGGACACCAAGTGAAATTACATAAGTGACAACCTTTTCAGCATGATATCTATTTGTCTAGGAAGCATTCCTTTACATTGAAAAGGACTAAAATCCGCAAATTAGACAATAGATGAAAATCCTGGAACCAGACC